TTACTTTGCTGTACATTGCTACTATAACCATTTGGTTATGACTCAAACTGTTAGGATGATAATCTTTACAATCTAGTCTTCAGTGTGTAGTTCACTGTGGGAAGGATGGAGTTTGTAATGTTGTAGGTTGTAAGGAGCAATGAGCCACAGCAGTGACCAGTATGGGAGGCTATCACAAATCTTCGTATGACAGTAAAAATCATAGAATCAAAGGATGGTTTGGGTTGGAAGGGTCCTCAAAGCTCATCTAATTCCAACCCCCTGCCATGGGCAGGGACACCTCCCACCAGCCCAGGCTGCCCCCAGCCCCATCCAGCCTGGCCTTGGGCACTGCCAGGGACGGGGCAGCCACAGCTCCTCTGGGCAAAGAAGTAAGAAACAAACAACAACAAAAAAACACTTCCAGGCAGTCTTCAGACAAATGAAACAGCAGTGGAAAAAAACACTGTGTGCCAAAACTTAATCAAATCACAGAAGTACTCTAGCTCAAATATATTTCAGGAAACATCTGGAAATGTTCAAGAGACTCTCAAGGGAAAAGAACATACCATGCTGGTTCAGGTATGTTGCTGAGAGAGCTCCAGCCTGTGACTGACACCATGCTGGAGCAGGAATCACTATGCTTATCACCTCAAACTCCCACGTTGTCCTACTGTTTGTCACAGGAATTTTGATAGACTGAATGTATCGTAGTAAAAATAAGGAAAAAAGGAAGATGGATGTTCTTGTAAACATTTCTTTAATAGTCAGTTGTGTTTTTTTTTCTTTTTGTTTTTTTTTCTTTTTTTTTTTGTTTTAGCCTATGCCCAAATCACGGTCAAAGGTTGGTGGATAACAAAGCAACTCAAGTAAAATACCCCAACTACAGACTGCTGCTTCTCTGCGACATTCTGTTTCTTCAACCCAAAGAGCATTGGCCATGTAGAGCTGTAAGCCCTGTTCTTTGATCAGACTGGACTGTAGAGCACACTGTGAGTAGTGGTTACACAAGACACTAGACTGGGAGCACCATGGATGACTCAGCTTGCCTTGTGGCTTGCAAAGAAACTTCTTGGCACTATCACTACTAACTCCAGTGACCATCACATGCAGTTACAGAAGTCCAGAAGGCTGTGGCTACTGTACTCTAGACATGGCACCAAGTTTTGGAGGAACACAGTAAAAATAGTCTTGCCAATGCTTTTAAGTAATACTCTTCATTAAATAAGTGTAGCATTTGGGAACAGGACTTCCCAGTGTCTGGACTATCCATCCATTTTCCAGATAAGTCTGACCAAGACAAGCTAGTGCAGATTCATGGGGCTGGAGAAAACAAGCAGCAGTAGATACACAACTGCAGAAGGAGAAGGACAATTTTTAAAGTGTTATTAAAATGTTAACAAGCTGTCGCTGTGACTTCAGTGCCATGAAACACAGCTCTAGGAACCAACAGTTGCAGTTGTAAAGAAGGCGGCCATTACACCAGGGCTCTGGCTGTGGCAGGCTGAATTGAAGTTTGTGGCAGACATTTTGGATGTTCTTTTCCACACTCTCCAAGATGCATCTGTTAAGTGTCAGGACACTGCCTCTGCCACAGCTGTCCCTGAGGCCTTCACCCTAAGCACACTGCACATGGATCCAGGAGCTCCACTTTATTTCAGGCCTAGGCCTTGGCTCCTCCCTTGAGCTATGGCACTGGCAGTCCTGTGCCCAGTCCTGTCCCAGTTTGATGGTCTGGTCTCCCAGATGGGTCTCAGACACAACTCCTCACTTCACATCTGGTGGTCACTGGAATGCTGATGAAGGCCACTGCTGCCAGCAGCCCTCACCTGCTCCCTTGCTCAGGCAATGCCGGCCTGCACCTTGCTGGGGAGGTCATCAAGCTCCCCTTCCTTTGTGGAGCAGATCTGCTGTTGTTCTTCTCTGACATGGGGAAAATGAATAACAGCAACAGAGGCTTCCACTTAAACATTTTCCCAACTGTGCTTGTGCTGAGTGTAAGATTCACATGGCCAGAAGTGCCTGTCATTGCTGATTAAGAGGAACCCAAAGGACACAGTGAAGGCTTGACAGCCAGTTCCCCTTGTCCCTGCAGGCTGCAGGTACGTGATGCTGGCCAGACCACTTGAACATACACATTTTGGTGACTGCTAACAATGTTACTAGCACAAAATATCTAAAACAAACTAGCAAAAGGATTTTGTATAGAAAAAATCCCCTTCTATGGGACTTAGTATAGCATGTGTAAGTACTTAGTATAGTATGTGTAAGTACTGGAGAGACATTGTCCCGCATGCCCAACAACTACCCAGGTCCTATAACAGTTCTATTCACTGTGTATTATAACCACCCAAGGGAGACACACTGAGAATGAGGCACTGCGTGTAGCTTAGTTAAATGTAAAACTCAGAAATCAGTACTATAATCAGGTTGTTAGAGACATTCTGTTTCAGGAGCCCACTGGTCTTTGTCATGGCCCAGTAGTACACATTCACCAGCTTTGACATGCAGTTTCCTGATTTCTTTCTGTTTGCATCCCATCAGAGATTGCTTTCTGTGCTCTTGTGAGACCTTGTGTCACAGCACCTGCAAGCACCCCCTGTTTGGAGTGCCCTAAGAGCTACTTCAGGGGAAACCAGTCCTACATCACCACCTCAATTAATTTCCTCCTCAGGTTCTAGTGAACCTATTTTTGCTAGTAAGAGTTAAATCAAACCTTGAGAACATTACTGCAACGAACCGTCACAAAAAACCAGATGGTACAGAAGGTACCGAAGTCACCCTCTGTACAAAATTGGTAGCTGTAGCCAGCAGCTTTTCCTGCTGTTGTAATACTGACCTCTAAACGCAAGAGGGCATTCCAGGCATTTACACTTCAACTTGAGAAAATTGAAAACAACCTAGAGCAGTTACTGCTCTTCTAAGTAAACAGAGACACAAAAGCTGACTACAGGTTAATAGCGCTGTACTGCTGTGTACATGCATAAAAGCATCAATCTTAAAAAGACTGTTAGATATTTGATTATTCAGAAGTAAAAGCTCTTAAGACCCATGCTTTGTCGTTATATTTTATCACAGTATCTTTGCATTTCTCTCTTAGAGGAAAGCAGACCCTAAGAACAGAACAGGCACAGAAGACTTTTTCAGGCATTGCATTTACATCCTGTTCCTACAAGTGTCTCCTCCATTCCTGTCTGTAAAGAAGCACTAAACCTGCACATCCATCTGCACCAACTGCTGCCACACTAGGGACTTTTATCTTTCTGGGGATAAAAGTCATTCCTGTGAAAAGAAATATTCACTCTTCCTCCCTTCTGACTTTTGCAAGTTCTTGATTACTGCTCATTCTCTTTGGAAACAGCTATATACTGCAAGCCCAACTCTCACCATTGAGTTAATTCATTTGCAATATGTTTTACAGCCCTCATTGTAATGTTATACCAATACCTACTTAAAAGCTCCTTCTAAATATGTTTCCAAGCACCACACAACTCAATCTTGTCTTGCAGATTTCTGAAAAAGCACAAGGCTTTACTGAAATCGGTGTCACAAAATGCTCCTGCATTTCAATTCCTGCATTGAGCGCTGTGCTGGGCTCACACAGCCCCTTCTACCTCCCAGCTCCCATCTGCTATGTGGTAACACATCTCAACTTCTGGTTCATTTCTCTCTTCTCTCTGATTTCATTTTCCCCCGACAAGTTTTCCATAAACAACTTCACTTCTTGTGTATGTAAATCGCTTCACCCACACCATGTGATTTACCCCTGTGCAGCAGAGGCCTGCTTTAATCTTGAGGTCTCACCCAAGAAACCAACCACTGCCCTCTGGTCAGGACCAAGGGCTTGCTCCTGCACCTCCTGCTTTTGTAAGGTACAAAGTCACACTTTACTTCTCAAAAACCTCATATATAGATGACTCTGATTCCACAAATACATTATTTTTTCTCCACAACATTGTCTGGTAAGCAGGAGAGGAAGCATGCTTAATTTAACATGAAGAACCAAAGTGCTTTTCCCAACCAAGACTTTTATCTTCCAGTCTGACCCGTTGTTTATATTTTCCTAATATATCTATGACCAATGCCTAGAGTTTTTTTTGTTTTTTTTTTCTTCCCTGAACACCACCCACGTTTGCTTTCTCCACAGGTCTCCTGCAGCTTCCACCTGGAGGACCTCCCTTCAGGCACCTGATCAAAACTGGTTTCATACACCTCTAAGTTTCTTGTTTGTTTATTTTGTTTTGGTTTTGGTTGGTTGGTTTGCTTTGGAACTCCAGCCTGTGGAGGGCCCATGTTGGAGCTGGGGAAAAGTGATGAGGAAGGAACAGCAGAGAGGTGCTGGTATGGACTGACCGCAACTCCCCATGCCACTTGGTGGGGATGGAAGGGCCAGAAATAAAGGACTGAAGTTGAGCCTGTTGAAGTTTTTGGCTTTGTTTTGCACCATCCTGTTTTTTTTTTTTTTTTTTTTTTTTTTTTTTTTTTTTTTAATGGGCAATAAATTAATGTTCCCCAAGCCCGTTTTATCAAAATCTTCATCCTTGGATACTGCTACCCTGAGCAATCAAATCTAATTTAACCCTGCTTTGAACAGGGTGTCGGACTGCAATGACCTCTGGAGGTCCTCTCCAAACTAAATCAGGTCCCCAAGTGTGACGTGCCACAATCATGTTGTAGAGCTGGTAGGTTCAGCCTGAAAGGAAAGATTGAATTGAGGATAACATCTCACTAATATGAGAGACAAGGCTTATTTAACAGCTGCATTTTTGTTGTATTAAACAAGAGGACAATTCAAGGAGAAGAAACACCTTACGAAGTAGCATTAGCACGGGAGTGATAGCTTGCATGTAACTATGCTTCTTTAAGTGAGTTAGGAGTTGGACTCAGTGATCCTTGAGTCTCCCTTCCAACTCAGAATATTCAATGATTCTACGACTTTAAAATTCGATGACTCTGAGATTTGAACACTCCTTTCTCAAATTTTATTACCGAGCAGCTCCTGAGTTTTTCAAGCAATTACTGAGATGCCTGCAGCGGCGTTACCCTGCGAGCTCTCCCAGAACCAAGCACTGCTCCCGGGGGAGGAGTTCTCCCTGCTTCCGATGACACCGGGTCTCTGCAGCAACACAGCCCTGCTGCTGCTCCATGGCACCAAGGAGCTGCCATGCCGGCGGGCTCGGATGTTTTGTCGGGCTTGAATGATTTGTCGGATGAAGTAAAGGATACGCCCCCTGAGCGCACTTTGGGCTAAAAAATGGACAACTCCTTTGTGGAAGAAGTGGCTGCATCACTGGTGAGGGAATTTCTCAGTAGAAAGGTAACTTTCTCTCGATTTTCTCATTAGGAAAAATGGGAATGACACACGACAAATGTTAAAGATTAAGGAATAACGGGAGGGGGGGATTCTTCCAGCCTTAAAGCAGCCAGACTTGAACCGCAACAAGCTGCTAGGGTGAGTGTCTGCACTACATCTCCCACAATGCCTTCTATTCCTGATCATGGAAGGCAGCTTCCTGCTCGTTTGAGAAAACCTGATTCATACCCACAGGCGCCTGCAAAAGAAAACAAGTCAAGACATGCTGATTCCAGCTTTTGTTTTTCCCCTTAATTGCTTATCTATTGTCCTCGCTTTGTCCTATTTCTACCCTTCTTTTTACAAGAGATGCACACAGCTTCCCAGATGAATACTAAAACAAAACAAAACAAGAGGTACTGGTGCTAAGGAAAATGGTCACATGTGTCTTTTCGTGGTGTTCTGTATTAGCTTGGCAGACAGCAGATTTATCTGGCAGGAAAGGGAGAAGGGGAAGAAAGCGGTCTTTTTTTTTTTTTTTTTTTTTTTTTTTTTTTTAATAAAAAAGGCACCACCACCAAAACTTTGTAATAGAAATCATTTGGGTGTCAGTAGACTGGGACTGAGCAGAGGAAAAGACACCTTCACATTTTCAGGTAAAATTACCTGCTCAATCCAAAGGAAACACTGCAGAAACACCCCACCCTTCCCCCCACCCATCCCCTACCCTCCCGTGTCAGAAATGAGTTGATTGTACCAGAACCTAAGCAACCACTGTGTGGTGAAGTGCTGCTAGAGAAACTTTGCTTTCCTTCATCTGTTTTGCATCCAGCCTACTAAGGCACATTCTCAATGTTAGTGAACAAAGGTGAAACGTTTGCCAACAGAATTTCCAGTGCAGAATTCATTACCTGCCGTTTACTTCTAGAAGTATGAGAGAACAGTACCTTACAGTATCTGACTGGGAAGATTTTTCAAATGAAACACTGTCACACTTCTGACATACTTTTAAAAGTAAAATTGGAGAAAATCATAAAAGGAAAGGGAATGCCCTGCTGGTAAAACAGACCATACCATATCCATTAATACTTTATGCTTTAGTTGCAGCAGCTGTTTCATATTACACACTGTGCTATCAAACTTTTCTTTTTCTTCACAAGTGTTCCTTCCCCTTTCCCAAATCTTCCTCAGAAGCAGCTGTGAGAACCATCCTATTTGCCACCACTTGTTCACAGCACACTAACACAAATCTGCAGAAAAAAAAAGCAGAAAATTCCTTCTTGTAATAATAATCATTCACTGGGGCTTTCTTTCTCAAAAATTGTCTGATGTTGTACTACTAAAGTTAGCTCAGAAGCTCACTCCAGTATTACATGATAAATCCTTTCCCCTCCATAAAGTGTGATGCCCATACATTTTGTCTCTGTATGATACCCATGATCATACCCATGTATGCTGACTATAAATTCAAAGCACCTGAGGAAGTCTGAAGTGTGGTGAACAAGTGGAATATGCTTGGAGTTGCTGATCTTTAATTTCAGTTTTAAAAAAACTCATCCAAGGGATTTCCTTTTTTTTTTTTTTTTTTTTTTTTAATAGAATGAAAGCTATAATTGGATTCACCTGTAACAATTTAAATTAGTATGATGTCCATATGATCCTATAAACCACCATCATGTACTGAAACACATGAAGACTCCAAACCAGTTGATGCCATGAGGATCAGACTGATTTCCAACATAGACACTGATCAGAATAATGTGATCAGAATAAAGGCCCTGAATTTTTTTCTGAACCTGCCAAAACATAGACTACATTTGATGTTCAGACTTGGTAATTACATAGGTCAGAATCCCATTTACAAGAAGCTGTATCACACCTTGATAGAAAAAGCCAACTTGGTATTCCTGGAATTATTTGAACCAGAAGCCCAGGAAGGCAGAGGCCTTCACACAGACCACTCAGATCTTAGGAGAAGCTGTTACGTAGCTGAAGTCAGACGCATGGGGGTCTTTTTTTTTTTTTTTTCTATTTTTTTCTGCTTTTTTCTTTTTTCTTCCCACGTTTGGTTATTTCCACCTCACTGACAGCAGTATCATCTTAAGTATTTTTTACGTCAGCTGTAGTAATGCTAAATTGTCTCATTAAAGTACAGGTTGTAGCACTTAGAATGTTATTAATTTCTACCATTTTAATGTACCCAGAAATTTCATATTGCATGCAACAAAGTGAATAATGAAAGCTTTGGTTGGTTGTACTGTCTCAGGTACTCTAGTATCTCCTGCTTGGACTTTTCAGGGACTGAAGAAAACTATCAGTACCATGGACCGAGAGCTTCCACGCTCTGCACTTAGCATCAATAACAGGAATGAACTTCGAAACGTCCTACATTTGCACTCCTTGTACAAACAGAACAAGGTAAGGAAAGAGACGGTGCTCCCCAGAATCTGGTCTCAGGCCTATGGAACTAGGTCAGATAAATCAAGACTGCAGCGTTATGTCCACACCGCAGAGAACTCAAGCCTGTGCCTGCTACTGCATTGCTGTGGACACACTTATAGTTCTCTGCAGTAATGGAGAACACAACATTTAGTTGAGATTGCATTAAAGCTCGTGGGACTAAGCCAAGAACCAGGCAGTTAATGAATCCTTGTTACAAATCCTCCAATAAACTAGGAGCAGTTATTCACTTCAACACCTTTTCCATTATTATGGCTATTCAATTTTGGAACTCTCTCTTTATGCCCATTTCTATTTACATCTTTATGTAAGATCTGACAGACAGAATTATACACTTCACGTATCTTTGAAATGTAATATAGACCACAATGTTTGATGTCAGGGACATCAATAGGTAATTCCCAATTAGTCCCTAGACCCAATTCTGCTCATTGTTTGCTCAAAGCATCATGATGTTTTTTGAATAGTGTTAATGGTGGGACTACTACGTCACTTAAAAAAAATAAATCTCTCTAGTAACTGTACTACTATACTATACTATACTACCTAGTAACTGTACTACTATAGCAGACATTAGATTTTTTAAGCCATAGACTTTTTTTTTTTTTTAATGAGAAGGCAATATATATATATCATCCATCTCTCATGATTGCTAAAACAAACACACACAAACAAAAAAACCACACACACACACACAAACAAAAATAAAATAAAAAATAAAAAAAAAATCAAACAGTTAAATAAGAGTTTGTGTGTCAGGTATTATTTGCAGTTCATTCTAGATTCTTCAGAAGTTGCCCAGGCAACACCTGGGGGTCCTGGTGGACGACAGGTTGGCCATGAGCCAGCAGTGTGCCTTGGTGGCCAAGAAGGCCAACGGGATCCAGGCGTGCATTAAAAGGAATGTGGCCAGCAGCTCAAGGGAGGTGATCCTCCCCCTCTACTTTGCCCTGGTCAGGCCTCACCTGGAGTACTGTGACCAGGTCTGGGCTCCCCGGTACAAAAAAGACAGGGATCTCCTGGAAAGAGTCCAGTGGAGGGCCACAAAGATATTATGAGGCCTGGAGCGTCTACCCTGTGAGGAACGGCTGAGACCTGGGTCTGTTCAGCCTGGAGAAAAGAAGACTGAGACAGGACCTTATCAATTCTTATAAACACCTGAAGCGTGGGAGACAGAGGGATTTGGCCAACCTCTTTTCAGTGGTTTGTGGGGACAGGACAACGGGCAATGGCCACAAAATGGAGCACAGGCAGCTCCGCACCAATATGTGAAAGAACTTCTTCATGGTGACGGTGGTGGAGCACTGGATGCCCAGGGATGTTGTAGAGTCTCTGGAGATATTCAAGGCCCGTCTGGACGCCTACCTGGGCAACCTGCTTTGGCAGGGGGGGTGGACCCAATGATCTCTTGTGGTCCCTTCCAACCCCTACAATTCTGTGATTAGAAGTGTACTCTGGTATAGCTACCATACTTCTCAATATTTATCTGAGGACAGGTTGCTACTTGTGTGATGCATTTAACACATCAAAATCTTGGGAGGTCTTGATACTCCTTGCAGCTTCTCCCTTTATGTATTGTTTGTAGAGCCACAGCTGACTCTAGAAAATAGTTCACATGTTCAGCTACTCTACAAAACACCATCCCATCTTAGGTTGCAGCAAGGTTAATAAGACTTTCAATAATCACCACAAACTTTGTTTTTCTTCTTGAATAGGCAAAGGAGAACCCACTTAAAACACTTCTTGAAATTATTACTAAGTACTTCCTTGAGCACCGTGGGACCTCCAAAATCACCGGTTCAAGTTCTACTCTGCCAGCTCCTCAAAGTAAGAGCTCAACATCTCATCCACCTGACTTCTCAGATGAAGATCATGCATTTGGGAGTGCCAGTACGCCTGATGAGAGCAGAACTCAAACCTCCAGGTACAGTCCTGATTTCTCTTTGCCCTATTTTTTTTTTTTTAAGTGAAATCATGTTAAGTGGTTTGTCATTTATACCTTCAGCTACAGCACCTTGTATTAGTTAACTTAATAACATAAAACGTGAAATTCCAAATTATTAACATCTCTCAAGTAAGCCGCCCTCTTTTATACTCCCTAGAGACTACAAAGACTTGATAATTTCAACTATATCTTTCAGTCAATGAAGCACATACAAATTTAAGCTTTTATGCGTGGTAAACTGGAAAGTATTCAAACTGAATTATATAGTCTGATGGGTAACTAACCACCTGCACTCAGACTATGAATATACCTTTGCTTTAGACAGTCAAAAGCAAGGCCTACATTCTTACATTCAGTACTGTTGCGTACAGTATAGGCTTAGTCATTTTTATCATTGAAAGTATTTGAAAATAGCACGTAGCGAAGTCTTTCAATTTTTGTTAGTGTCTCAAAATGGGAGGACCAACCCCAATTGTGCTTTCACAGAAAGCTTTTAAAATGGGCATGTAGAAGTAATTGGCCTTTTCCACCCCAATTCCTAGGGTATTAATCCCATTTTATTACTCATCCTGAATACAGCACGCTCAAGCTAGCTGCACTTGTGCTGTTAGCACTTCCAACACCCCAGCAAATCCACACTCACTGGGGAAGAAAACCAAGATGTTGAGAGTGGACATGACCACTCACAAATCAATACTTGCTGAGAATGCAGTGCAGGGAGGAAAAATAAACAAATATATATATCCTTTTTCAGATGGAGGGGTTTGTGTCACATACAGAGCAGTCATCACTCCCCTGTGTGACACTACCCCAGCTCAGTTGCCTCAGACCTGCATTTTCTCCCCACTCTACGAGACTAATCTCTTTGTAAGCCTCTTGAGTGTCTTAAGATCCTTTTATTACAGCAAAAAGCTTTTCCTAATGAGGAAACACCCTGAGACCGAGGCACAGCGACGCGCTCAACACAGCGCTCCCGCCCCCGACCTCCACAAAATGGCGCCGCCCTCCCCTCCCCGTTACTTATAGCCCTGTCAGCGCATGCGCATTGGTAGCGGAGCGCTTCCCTCCCCCGCTCGCCTCTCAACGGCACCGCGATAGAGATCCAGAGCGGCCGTGGTTGCTAAGGAAGTGGGGCGTTAAGGGGCCGCTCTGCCTTGCGCCGGAGGGCACTCTATGGTTGTAGTCCTCCACTGGGGGTTAAAGTTGTGAGCAGGGGGGTCTTGAGTTCACCTAAACACCCACATTTACACGTGTCCCCCCCACAGCAAGCATACTGTACATACATACACATGTGAAGGGGCCACGCTTGCAGACGAGTGGGGGTGAGGGGTGAGGGGCAGCACAGGCCTGTGAGGAAGGACCCCCCACCATCACACCATGGGCTCTGATCCCCATGAGGGAATAGCCTCAAGTTCCACCAGGGGAGGTTCAGGTTGGAAATAAGGAGACATTTCTGCTCAGAAAGAGCAGTCAGGCGTTGGGACGGGTTGCCCAGGGAGGTGGTGGAGTCACCGACCCTGGGGGAGTTCAATGGTTGGATGTGGTGCTTGGGGACATTGTTAAGTGGTGACATTGGTGGTAAGGGGATGGTTGGACCAGATGAGCTTGAAGGTCTCTTCCAACCCTAACGATTCTATAATTCTATGGAGGAAAATTTTTGCTTTTTCTGCCCAAGCCAGAGGGGTAAAGGGAAGCAAAAACACCAGATAAACGGAAAACTGAAAAGTGAAAAGGAGAAGCGTCCAACTTCAGGGAGGTTTAGATTGGATGTTAGGAGAAATTCTTCACACAGATGGTGGTCGAGCACTGGGATGGGCTGCCAAGGGAAGTGGTGGAGTTCTCATCCCTGGAGGTTTTTAAGAAACATGTGGATGTGGCACTTAGGGACATGGTTTAGTGATGGGACTTGATAGGTCACATTGATGATTGGACTTGCTGATCTCAAAGGTCTTTTCCAGCCTAGATGATTCTATGAACCTTTTGTGTATACAAGCCTGAAAACCCAAGTGTGCACTGAAAGCTGCCAGCACATAAGGGCACAGAATCCTGTACCATCTTGCACATTTCTGTCTAAATCCTGGTCGAGTTTTTACCTATTTTTACGCATTCTTAAGCACCAAAGCAAATTTACTGCTTAATGCCTTCCTAGGGTGTGTGAGGCCTAAAGTGATTGTGGGAGCGATGAAAGAGGAGCAATGAGGGTCCGTCTGGGTGTTAGGAAAAGGTTCTTCACCAAGTGAAGGCACTGGGACAGGCTCCCCAGGGCAGTGATCACAGCACCGAGCCTGCCAGAGTTCAAGAAGAATTTGGACAATGCTCTCAGACATTATTGTCTGTTTTTAGGGTAGTCCCATGTGGAGCCAGGAGTTGGACTCAATGATCTTTGTGGGTCCCTTTCAACTCAGGATATTCTATCATGCTGCAGTAAAAATGGACCAAGTGGGTTTGAAATCGTCTTTTTGCAATAGGATTGGGGAATGGGGGTTTTAGGGTCTGTTGATATATAACAGTATCTCTGCTATTTGTATCTGTATTTTCTTTTCAAGGCAGCTGAGGATTGGACCCTTGGACACAGGTAGATACCCCAGTTATATCTCGAATCAGGTATAGTCCCAGCCATGCAGCCAGGCTGTGTTTCTGGCCATGGAAAGAAGCTGCAAAGCTGTTGTAAGGACTGTCATAGGCAGCTTGCCAGGCTGGATAAGCCATGTCCTTTTTCTGCCTATAAATTGTATCAGTGAGAGAAACACCAGGGCAGAAGTGTGGTTGTGTGATCCTCATAGCCATTTCTGTCACCTCTGGCTATGGAGAAATGAGACATTATCAGGTCAAACAGCCAGTGCCTGAAATTAGGTTTAATTGTAACTACCTGGATAATTTTTAATAATGGAAGCAGAAGTGGAGAGTGTAATTAGATTCTGTTCACCAGTTCCTTATATAAGAATCCTGCTCCCATCTCTTTTCTTTTACCTGACCTCAGAATTATGTTTTGTTTTGTTTTGTTTTGTTTTGTTTTGTTTTGTTTTTACTATGTCTCTAGGTGTTAAAGTGACCTCTGAGCTAGCTGTGCCCTTTGGCAATGAGAAGTTATGTGGTCCTAGGTCGGGATTAACAGTTCTCAGATTTCATAATGCTCCCAGAGATTGATCATGCACCCTTCTGTTTACATATGAAGCATGTCTTTGCAGAGAGATATTTTACTGAAAACAAAGAAACAAACAAACCCACAGTGATTAAATAAAATGAATGTTTATGTGATACAAGATGCTTCAGCTCATGTAATTACTTTACTATGAAATGGGATGGAGAAAAACATCTTAGATCTGAAAACAAAAGTGGAGAAGTTATCATAGAAGAAGGCTAGTATCTTTGGGTTATCTCAAATATAAATTTATCAAATAATGGAGAAGAGGTCTCAGTGAAGTGGGAACAGATAAATAAAAGAACTTTCATTTAACAATGATCTTGTATCATAGAATCATAGAATCACGGGATGCTTTGGTTTGGAAGGAACCTTAAGAATCTAATGTTTTGCAACCAGTGAAAAAGATACTGATGAAGAAAATTGAACCTTTCATGATTTCTTGCAGGATGTGTAGGAAGGCAGAAATTATGATTATTATTATTTTTTTTTATCAGTAAGAACATGGTTTGTTGAAAAGTATTTTTGAAAAAGAAATGCATATAGTGCAATACAAACAGAGAGATCTAAATGAATCTCAGCTGCATTTCAGAGAGGCTTGTTTATAGTATTAAATATGTGCATGAAAACCAATGCAAACAGTGAACTACACCTTGAGTTGCCTTCTGGTGAGGACTAGGTTGATGAATATGGAAAAGGTCAAATGACAGCGATGTAGCAACACATTATCATATTACTTTTGAACTAAAATAAATGTTCTGTGTTTGAACAAAGTGTGAAGGAGGTCAGTTGAGTCGGTCTGAGTTATATGATAACAGAGGATGTTAGCAAAAATGTTAACAGATTTTCAAACTGCCATTCAACAGATGGAGAAGGAAGGGGAACTGCTTATGGTAGAATCACAGAATCATTAAGGTTGGAAAAGACCTTCAAGATCATCTGGTCCAACCATCCCCCTGCTACCAATGTCACCACTAAACCATGTCCATAAGCACCACGTCCAACCTGTCTTTGGACACCCCCAGGGACAGTGACTCCACCACCTCCCTGGGCAACCTGTCCCAATGCCTGACTGCTCTTTCTGAGAAGAAATGTCTCCTCATTTCCAAAGTGAACCTCCCCTGGTGTAATGGCCTTGAGGCCATTCCCTCTAGTCCTATCACTAGGACCTATCTCATTTGAAATATATGGCTTGCTTTATTTATTTATTTATTTATTTATTTAATTATTTATTTTAATATGGTACATATCAAAATAAGTAAAAATACGATTAAAATAAAGTCTTAAACATATTGTGACACAGAGTAATAATATTGAAATAATCTGCTGAAGACCTGCATAAAGATGTTTAAGTGAAAAGTGATTGTATTTGAGTACCACTGCATGCAACTTAACTTGACAGCAGTGATTTAATTTGCCAAGGTGCTGTTTTCATTGATTTCATTTGGTATCACTTGGCTGTTTGAATTTTTGTTTCTGTTTCTTTCTTGTAGATACCATGTTGAGAATCCACTAGATAAAATCCTTTCATCCAGAAAACACCAGCACAAAAGTGAAAAATGCCATACGGAGACAATATGCAATAGCCAATTAACCTCTGATGGGGATAAGAAGTTAAAAGATAGTCAAGAAGATTTAAAAGCAACAATGATTTCTGAAGAGCTTCAAGCAACAGTGAAGGACAAGCACAGGCCCAGGTCTGGTCTCATTGTCAGAGGAATGATGGCTGGACCAGTAGCAAGTTCACCAGAGGTGATTTCCTATGCTTATAAAGTATCGGGCATGACCAGAGATTTTATATGTAACCTTCTGCAATGAAATAATTTGCAAATAATATTCAAGTAACTTCTGCATGCTAATATGAAATCCGTGCTCTGAAAAGATGTGGCAGGTTAGGGAAGTGGTTGTGGTTAATTCAGAAAGTCAGACTGTTTCAGGAACAACCACTGCACACAGATCTGTGATCTTTGGTTGCAGCATTTCTTTATAAATGTTTTCCACTTTTGGTATCTCATCTCTCTTGACAGCTGGGATTTTCAGTCTCAGGAAATTGCTTCTTTACTTTAGATCTTAAAGTTTTCTTAGCTATGGATGTCTGATCTCCACAGGTTTTTCTGAAACCCCACATTTAATCAGTAGCAGTATGGAATTAAAATATAACCTTCATTAAAGTTGTGTTTCTAAATTGGTCCAAATAGGCCATATTCTGTCAATAATTGCTTTTAAAACACAATTCTAAAGTAAAATTAAGCTTATAAAAATTAAAGGATTTTAAACATTTAATTTTGCTAATACTGAAGTAAATATGAAAGTTAAATAAATTACTTGGGTTTTTTTCTAAAGAGTTTTGATTCAGAAAAAAAGACTAGATATCTTTAACAGGAAAATGGCATGTAAATCTGGGTTCTCTGAGTACGACCCCCAAGCTAAGCTTTTATAAGCTACTTAATTGATGTTCTTGGGTAAAAGAAAACAGTTGTTCAAGTATGTAGCATCTTTGATACTGTTCAAATTGTAAGTACAAGTGTATGTCTTTTTCTGTTTATTATACAAAAGAAATTACCTAATTTACTCTTTGGCCGGTTTCTAATCATGAATAAATTTTTAGCCCAGTGTTAGTGATAGAGCTTTCCTTTGCTTTCCATGCTTGTGTAAAGATGCTCAAATTCAAATCTTAGTTTTAATGGAACTTATTTCTAGGATCTGCAGAAAAGGAGGCTTTCAAAACGCTCCACTAGCATAAGCAGCGCAGCCCAGCTCAAAGGTGAAAAAGAGGAAGGAAATGACCTGAGTGTCCCAAGCATTGATTCTCAGGAAAGTAAAGAAACTTCAACACAAGTAAATACAGAGTTTTCACCAAGGACTTTGTCAAGCTCACACACGATTTCAGCTTCTGAAAAACTAAGAAACATCCCCAAAGATACAGATGACTTTTTTGCCAAACTGTTCTCTGAAAGAGGGAGGACGAAGACAGAAGAAAGAAAATTGGTTCCAAACTTTTATACAGAAAGCAATGAAAAAAGCCTTAAAGTGAGTGCCTCTCACAGACATTCAGGGACTGGAAAAGAGAAGAAAGAAAGGTCCCTCAAGAAAAGTGAGAATTGGTTATCAGGCCTCAGGTAAGAATATTTGTAAGAATATTGTACTAGAAAGTCAAGGAAATATGATGAAGGACTAAAAGAGACTGAGATATGCATTCTGGTTTCACTGATGCGAAGCAGAGGTGAAAGTGCTGAAAGGCAGAGAAATTTTAAGATTTAAATTACTACTTTTGAAATCCCAAACCATTTAGGACTCCTTTCTTGGTCAGTGGAGAGACCCCATAGGTGCTGGTTTCTTTTAGCTGCCTATAAAGGGAGCTGAGCGTTTCTACTCAGCGTAGCGTCTACTCTACTGAGCGGTTCAGACTCAGACCACTAAACCTCAGACATACAAGCAGTACAAGTGACTCCCACCTGCAGATGTCACCTACATCTTAGGAAACAGTGTTGATTACCACTCTCAGCATTGTAGTGGTACATCCAGAAAAGCCTCAGAAGATAAAATGAAGGAACACCAGCCAAGGGCATAGGCATATCCACATGGCTCAGTACAGTTCTATGTCGAGCTATCCAAGCTATGCCCAAACAAGCTGGTTTAGCTACCAGCACAGTGGTGTATCAGAATGAGACACTGCGGTGAGTTTTTGAAGCAGGATATCCCATATCATTGGAGCATGTAGACTGAGCCTAGTTAGCATCCCCATGCACCATGATGCTGCATCCACACTGCTCCTGTGTCTCAAAGTATTTTATTAAAAGTTCACTCAGATTATTTATTTATTTATTTATTTATTTTGGACTGCATTGCTTCACATTGTTATAAAAGGTTTAGAGAGACTCCTTCTGTGAGCTTCAAATACATAGTTTGGGCTTTTTTCTGTCTCCAGACAGCAACATCACAAAGCTGGCTTCACAGTGGGACTGTGAGTTGGTGTGGGTTTTGAAAAGCTTCAGGCTTAGTCATCCACCAGAGCTGAACCAATTCTGAACTGCTGAAGATGCACTGTTTGCCATGACTGTGCCTATAGAAAATCATAATAGTAAAAACAATTGCCTCATAAATTCAATTGCCTGGAAGTCTTCAAAAGACGTTTAGATGTAGAGCTTAGGGATATGGTTTAGTGGGGACTGTTAGTGTTAGGTTAGAGGTTGGACTCGATGATCTTGAGGTCTCTTCCAACCTAGAAATTCTGTGATTCTGTGATACCTAGTGCTTTTCATCTTCAGCTCTCAAACTTTAAGCAAGGCATTACTATCTCTCTGCCCATACTACAGATACACAGATACTACACTATAGCAGGTATAGAGAAACTTGTATGCAGCAGCTCACACAGAAAGTCAGTAAAATCATACACAGGGCTCAGGCACCCTGCGAGTTTGTCTTGTACTGCACTCTGAGTGCTAGAGGTGAGAATGTGTTATATTCAGTAGAAATGTGTGGTTTATACCACCTCCTGCTTCATAAACTAAGGCACAATATGGCAACATCATATGATGTGGGCCATGAAGTAGTACATCTGTTTTATTAAATGTAACTTGATCCATGTTGATGGCTAGTTTGGTGGTTTTTTAAGTGCTAAAAAAAACTCATTGATATGGTGAAACTCCAACCACAGATTATTATTTATTTATTTTTTCCTGTTTAATTTCTTTTTAATCTTGGGAAACAGAGTGACAAGGCCCTGTTGAGATCTTGAGGAAATGATGATATAGTGGGCCTGTCCACATTTGTGTTAGGGGTTGGCGGAGTTAACAAACTGAATGTCTGCTGAAGGTACAAATGGGCCAGAGTGGCACTTGCTTCCTGTCTGGGACCAAAAAGCAACTGAAAACAGCAACCAACATTATGTAGTTATTTACCTGTGTTAGCATACCTTTTTTGAAAAAGACTATTGAATGATGGGCCAAGGTACTACAATCTGAAGTCTTAAAATCCACAAGAGGTCAGTTCTCCTTTATGTACAGTATTGGCACCCTGAGATGTGTCAAATAAAAGCTGAAGCTAGACAATAAAAGTGTGACTGCTGCTGAACTGGAAGCGGTGCCTGCAGATTCCTGGAAGTGCACAAAGCCAGCTCATAAGCGACTCAGAAATCAGAAACACTGGGGTCTGACTCCATATGGCTTTTGTTCCATATAGTTTGACTGAGCATATAAGGTAGTGCTAACCCACCACTTGATCCTTTCCAGTTTCAAAATGCTTTAGGATTAACAGAGGTAGAGAATACAGCTTCAGTGGGCTTTTGACAGCTCCCAAACAAAGCTGATAAGAGTAGGTGTACTCCTGGTATTTGTTAAGCAATTAATATACTGCTGGTTATTTATGAGCGTTTTTTACATGTTGGACTGGATAAAATTCTTTGGGAAGACTCTCTGACCAAGAAATCACTTGTACTGACTTCACTCATCTGTAGCTGGACGTGCTGACGTTTCCCAGTCTTGTGCAGTGCTTGTGGAGTCAGCAGAAAAAGAGAAGCTGGTCTAAAAGGGGACATCCCCAGGGCACCATTCTGTGCGCTGTACTGCACTACTGTGCTCCACTGCTGTAGTCAGTAGTTTGCAGTAGCTGGATTCCTTTAGGGGACTGACTTGGTCTCAGTAGGAACGGAAGAGGGAGCTATTTCCATTTAATATGTTTTCAAAGCAAAACTGGGACATTTCTGCCAGATATCTTGAGCTAAGGCCAGTAAAGCATTTGAATTCATGCTGAGCTCTGAGGTCCTGAAAACTCTCAGTGAAATTAGCAGGACTGCTGATGTTCCCGAAGTTAAGTGGAAGTAACAGAGAGTGGAAGTGAGACTCCAAATAAGCATCAACTATTACAATGTAAGGACTGGCACTTGCAAGGCTTTTATCCTTTTGGTGAAATCCTGCAGTGTTTGAGAGCTTTTCAGGATTTGTTCAGAGTGCTTCAGCATTATGGGGCATCAAAAATTACAATGTAAGAACAGATATTTATCTGGATCCTTCTGTTCACTGTTGATGCCTCCAGACTTATATAAGTGCTAATCTGTTTAGATAAGTAGCTGAAAATCTATTTAGGATTAAACCCAGCTAGTTCATTTCCAGGCATCTGAAATTCTGTTTTTTGTTTCCCGTAGCAAAGTGAAGACCTACAAATATTATTTTTCCTTCCATTTTGATGTACCTCTTCATTCTCTTTTGTTAAATGCAAAATGTGCTATTGTTGCACACAGGCTGCAGGCATCCATTGTCTGCATATGAGACAAAAACACCAAAGCAAAAATGCTGCCATGCTTCAAAAGACAAGCTGAATATTATTGAATAAATGCTTACAAACTGAGTGGGCAGAAATACCTAGCTATAAAAATACCCTGGAGAAATACAGATCCCACAGTATTTTGACTCACACAGTTTAATGAAAGAAATGATGGACATAGCATCGTGCTTGTTATTCCATCAGCTATCTAACTCTTAGCTACTGCATGAAATGTGGCATGAGGTGGGCAACTGTGCTGAGAGGCCAGATTTGTGACTTCGTATTTCAGTCTTGCAGTATCAACATGAAAGTAGCCCTCTGAGTACCGTAGTTCACGTTTGTCTTAAATAAGATTTGGACATTCTTTCTTTGATCTAATAGATAAAATTTTGCTATCTTGTCAGTGAGGAGGCACTAAACACTAACAACATATCTTCCAGAGATATGAAAAAATAAAAGAAAGAAATTGCTTGCCTTGCTATTGATGCAACTCCTTGTTTCTTTTTAGGAAAAAAAAAAAAAAAAAAGGAATAAAGTTAGTGAAGTCAATTAGGGACTAAAGATACAGATACAGTCTGTTTGTGTTTTGAACTGCTACTGCTGAATGCATTTGCTTTCAGATTCAGGTAACTGTAATGACCATTTAGAAGTTCAGTGTTTAACTGCAGATGTTACCCAATTACTTATAACTGTGATAAAATACTGACTGCTTGTAGGAAAGTACTCGTTACTTTTTCAGCTATAGTCTGGATTTAATGTTGATCACTTTGTGGGAACACTGTTGTTATATAGCAAGTGCACCACACTCCTTTAATTACAGAAAGACAGATGTGAAGAACAATTTGTTCACTTTCATCTTCATTTATCTACATTGTACATCACAGTATAATGTCTGAATTCCACTACATAAAAGGGGGAATAATGATTGCAACTCATTAAAAGCAAAGGGTTTATTTTCCTCCTTGTTTTACAGGGGAACAGAAGCTTTTGTGCTGTTGGGTCAATAATAGTTCTCTGTGACATTACTGTATTCTGTTTCATGTTAGTAGGAGTTATTCCATAAAGACAGTCTGTTTTACTGTTATAATACTTAGCAATACTTAAAAATACCTAACAATGCTTAACACACTTAATAATATGCTGTACATATTATTAGTTTGCATACCAACTCAGGTGTAATTGTTGTAAATGCCTTTATTTTAGAATTCCTTATTTTTAATTAACCCAGAAAAGAGCAGTATGTAGGTGGCAGCAAATCTTCATGTGTCCTCGCCTATAAACAAACAGCAGCTAATTCAATTTCTCGATTCATCCAGCCTTGTTTTTTGTACTGTGTATGTTGTGGTGGTGATGATGGTAACTGTGCTGGTCCCTGGAAGCTGTAGGCACTGGAGGTTATCATGAGGACAGTATTTCAATATGAGTTTTAAACTTATTTTCCTCAAGAGTCGGATGTCTGACTTTTCATATTCCAAGGCTTTAGCTTTTAATAGCTTAGATATAGTGCTTCAGTGGCCACAGTACATTTTTTCTTTTCTGCCTAAACTACAGAAATATATGAATTAAATAAGGAGAAGTAAAGTTTTGCTTTAATGGAGAAGTAATTAACAGTGAATAAGTTTGTGGTACTTTCCCATGTGACTTGATCACGCAAGGGTAAACTTTGAGTTTTCCTCTTTTATAAACTATTATCATGTGTACAGCACTCCTATTATTTGACTGAAGAACCTTCCATTTTAAGGACATTAAAAATATTTCTCCAATATTTGTATATTGACATCAAGCTAAATTCTGGCATGTATACAGAATTATATCGATGATTCCTCTACGGCCCTTCTTAACAAATTAAACTTAACAA